GAGTGAATGATTAATGCCTCTTGTTGATAAGGATCCCTCTATCAAGGTGAGTGTATGTATTAACGAAATTGTTTCTTTTTTCAAATACACTCCATCTTACAAGAAGGCATGGATTGCTAGAAATAAAGCAATCGAACAAGTGTATGGTAATTGAGAAAAGTCATACAATGAACTTCCAAATTACTTGTTGGCCCTTAAGAAGTTTGTTCCAGGCACTGTGGTAGAAATGCAAACACTACCATTATATACAGATGACAAGACTGTTGTTGCTGGGAAACAAATCTTCCACCGACTATTTTGGGCTTTCCAACCATGCATATGTGGCTTTGCATATTGCAAGCCTATATCACAGATTGATGGTACCTGGTTATATGGAAGGTACAAAGGTACACTACTAATGGCGGTAGCACAAGACAAAAACAACAATATTTTCCCAGTTGCCTTTGCCCTAGTGGAAGGTGAGACAACAGATGGTTGGGGTTTCTTTCTAAAAAACTTAAGAATGCATATAGCTCCTCAACCTGGCTTGTGTTTGATTTCTGACCGACATACATCTATTGAAAGCGCTTATAACAATCCTGAAAATGGTTGGCATAACACTACATCTATCCATGTGTATTGTATCAGGCATATTGTGCAAAATTTTATGAAGGATATCAAGGACCGTAACCTCCGAAAAAAAGTAATCAACATGGGTAAGTATATTTTTTGCAAACATTAGATGCTCATTGATAGTATACCATTATATTAACCAATATTTTTTGTAACATGTAGGGTATGCGCTGAACCAACCAACGTTTAAATATTATCGTAATCAAATTGGGATGGCTAATGGTGATGCTTTGAGGTGGATAGACAGAATTCTAGTTGAAAAATGGACGAGGGCATTTGACGAGGATCGTCGTTGGGGGCACATGACAAAAAACCTTGTCGAGTCACTAAATTTCGTATTTAAAGGCACTCGTAATCTTCCCATCATAACATTAGTAAGTGCAACATACTATAGGATGGGAATGCTCTTTGTTGAAAGGGGTGCAAAGTGGAGTGCAATTTTGAATTCTGGACAATCATTTACATAGCGGTGTGTGAAGGTGATGAAAGAAGAGACATCAAAATCTGCCACGTATCAGGTAAGCATTTTTTACTACAATAATAACACTTTCAGTGCAAAAGAGACAATTAACCACAATTAGGGTAAGCCATTGGGACGTTACAAGGTCAACCTAATGGATGGATGGTGTGACTGCGGAAAGTTTCAAGCATACCGTGTTCCTTGTTCACATGTTATCGCTGCATGTTTCGTGGTGCGCCAAGGTGCCTTTCTTCTATTGTCTGACGTTTACAAGGTGGCGAACTTATTTGGGGTTTACAGCACGAGTTTTCCAGTTCTACCATATGATGAGTATTTGATCACTTATGAGGGAGATCAAATTTGCCATAATCCAGTCACGCGGAGGAACAAGAAAGGTCGTCCTGTGAGCACCCGTATTACAACAGAAATGGACGCGTATGATAAGTTGGAGAGAAAATGCACATTGTGTCGTCTTCCAGGTCACAACTGAACGCAATGCCCCAATGTAGGAAGTAGTAATAATTAGTTATTCATTTTGTTATCAATATTCAAAATTGTATGTATAATGACACCAAGAAATTATGTTTCATTCCACTAATACTTCTGCATTTGATATAAATAACAATTCGAAAAAACAACACATAAATTAAAATACTTAGCCGAATAGTAGAACTTAGCAACAACATTACACCTAAATAACATCAACATGTTCAAACAAAGACATAAGCATTTCTAGGATATTACAACCAGCAACACAATATCTTTTTGTTGAAGCATCATCATAAGAACACATGCATCGTTGTGAACAAGTCTCCAAGAGCGAGTGAGTCCATTTAAGCCAGGCACCATAACTAGCCTCTAAATTTTCCGGATCTTTTCACCTTGGGAAATTTCTTCCCCTAACCATCCTTCCAAGTGCCTATGCAGATGCTCAAATGCCTGCGTATTCAACAATTTGATCTTTATCGAAGGCTTTACAGGAGAAAAAAATCAGTTCGGCGTCTCTTTTCATATATGGAAACGTTGGAAACTCTCCGGATGTTGAAGACATTTTTAAGATAGAACTAAAGAAAAATATTTTAAGTGTGGCTAGTATCATTCAACATCAATGATATTTATAGTTCACAACAAAAATTTTAAATTAATAAAATAATAAAACCCTTTGTCCATTGCAGTGGCAGAGCCGTACAAAAATAATAAAATATCGAGAGCCTCCGCCCATTGCTCTGCAGAACCGTATTTAAATAATAAAATAATAAAACCCTTCACCCATTGCAACGGAGGAGCCGTACAGAAATAATAAAATATCGAGAGCCTCCGCCCATTGCACTGGCGGAACCATACTTAAATAATAAAATAATAAAACCCTCCGCCCATTTCAGTGGCGGAGCCGTACTGAAATAATAAAATAACGAGAGCCTCTTCCCATTGCACTGGAGAAACCGTATTTAAATAATAAAATAATAAAACCCTCCGCCCATTGCAGTGGCGGAACCATACAGAAATAATAAAATATCGAGAGCATCCGCCCATTGCACTGACGAAACCGTACTTAAATAATAAAATAATAAAACCCTACGTCCATTGCAGTGGCGAAGCCATATTTATTTATTACTATGATTAACATTTATTTTAATTTAAACTTATTTTTAAATATTAATTTTAATAATGATTTTTTATTTAATGGTAATTTTTATTTATTTTTAATATTATATTAAAAAAAATGATATATAAACAGCTCCGCCAACCCAATGGGCAGAAGCTGTGTAAAATAAAGAACATCTGCCCATCCATTGGACGGAGCCTCCTACTTTCATTTTTTTGGAAAGATGGTATATTGGAAATATTAGTTGAAATGGATAGTAGTATGGGAATTAATTGTTAAAAGAGTGGTATGTTGGTAAAAATTTCGCTATTATCGTCACTTTCTAGCAGTCCAAAAACCTGCATAATAATGCCAAGAAGACCAATCCAAAAAAAAACAGTTACCTTTGTTACTGCTATGGTGCAACTTTGCCCAAATAAACCATCCAATTTTGCTGCAAGAAGAAGAGAAAATGACAAAATCTATTCAAGCCAAAATAACCCAAAAACTACACTCCAAAAACCTGCAATGCTGCTACATTTCTTCACCAAAATAGTTGAGCATTCTTTACATTAATAAAGTGGAAATTAGAACAAATACAAAACAAATATTCTCCATTTCAAATTCTCCCTCTGATATTCCACAATTTCCCATAAACTTTCATCATTCTTCTATATAAATAGAGACTTCACTCAACAGAGAAAGGGAGGAAAAATTAAGAAAAGACTATAGGAAATTTTGCAAAAAAAAACTCAGCATAACTCCTTCCACAAATAATCCTTTCTCTAAACTCCATTTTCACACTAAAATCCTCCGCTCCATAACCATACAACATATGCATAAGCTCAGACGCAGCAAACCAACATCACTCCGTTGTTTTATCGCGAGAGAAATAATGCTATTGTTTTTTTTAGAATCGATCGAGTGAGAGAGAGAAAAGAGAGAGAGAGAGATTTACGAGGTTGAGTTATACCGTTGTTATCACTATACAAAGTAAGATGGAGGAGAGCTCATGGTTTACGTTAGAAATCAGAAGAGAAAAACCATGATCTGAGAGATTCATTAGAGGATCAAACCTGATATTTGTTGTTGATGTTTTTTTCTTTTATATCGTGAATACAGATCGAGAGAGTGAGACCGATCAGAGCATGTTATAAACTGAGATAATGTTGTGGTTGTTTCAATCGAAAAACAAAAACGGATTGAACGTGAGTGAGAGACTCGATGAGAGAAATTTAGTTAGTAATTTTTTAGAATTTTAATTTAGTTTAGGTTTAACTTATTAACTTTAGAATTTTTAATCTAGTTTAGAATTAGTTTAGTAACTATAGATTTTTAATTTAGTTTGATAAAATATTGTTAGTTAAATTATTTAGCTACACTCTCTTTCATTTATATTTGATTTTATTTGTTTTTTAAATTAAATTTTTCATGGTTTATTTTTTTGTCATTATTTCTTAGTTTATTCAGATTTATTTTTTTGTGATTTTTCTTCTTGTAGATCTTTAATTTCTTATATTTTAGTATTTATCTTATTATACTTGTTTGTGATTAAACTTCATGCTTGTGACGTCTAACCTTTGAATCTTGCTTGTGATCTTGATTCTTGTTTGTGATTAAACTTCATGCTTGTGACGTCTAACCTTTGAATCTTGCTTGTGATCTTGATTGTAGTTGTTGCATAACCATACATTCATGCATCTATGAAACTCTTTTTCACTTGGTTTTCAAGGAATGTAAAGGTCTTTCTTTGTAAACACCATAAGTTTCATCAAACTCAATGAATCTTGAGTGTTGATGGGGTGGAAATCATAATTTACTTAAATAGATGATTGATTTTGATGATAACTTGATCAATGCTTTGATCCAATTTAGAATTTATTTTCCTCATGCTTTGATGTTTACAATTTAGTGTCTTGAGTTCATTGAAATTCAAATAAAAACCAACATTTACATCATTTGAATAATTCACGCATATATCTAGGTTGTCCAAGATCTCATTTCCAGTTGTCTCTTTCTTCCAGTTACCAATCGACCATCAAGTTATTTCCTCAACACAACTACGGGACTAGAGATAACATCAGACCAAGAACATGACATAGAAGTTAGAATGTAAATTGATGAGTTGAAGTAAGGCATGACCAAACTCACTGAGATGATGCAAGTTCTGATTGCTAGAGGAGAACCACCTCAGAGGACTGTCATATCTAAGATTGTAACTGTTGTTGTTAATCCTCCAATAATCTCGACCAGTGTTTCAGGCTCCAGTTTTCACTGAACCACAAACGATCGTTCATACTACTTCTCGTCAACCTGGGGTATATTCTGTGGCATAAGCTGCTTATGAGAATCCTCTCTTTGATTATCGTTCTGTTGTTAGTCAAGAAGATCCTACTTCATATGACATCAAATATCTCACAAGACTCAATTCAATCATGTTGTTGTATAAATTATCAATGCAACTTACAGAAGAAAATCCTTGAAACATGCAAAGTAAAGCAAGCTTCACTACAATGTAAAGCAAGCAAAGGCCAACTCATATTATTGTTCTTCTTCATGTAACTATAACTAAGCCAACCAGAAGACTTAAAGAACGTGAAAACTGAGCCTTAACTTTGCACTAAAAATTTCAAATCAAACCTAAACTCTATGTTAAGTATAAATTCTACTTAAACATTACGCAAAACATTAGCTTAATAGTAACCTATTCAAGATTGCAGCCACATTGTTGCAGTTCCAGTTTGTCACAAAAATGAAGGCCACAGACAAACCCCCCACAATTAAAAATAAAATCCTAAAAGAAAAATCCTCAAAATTTCAGTCAAGATTTCATTTGAAAGGAACAAAATACAGGGAAGAAAACAAATATTTACAGGATAATTCGACAAATTAATGTACATGTACCATGCTCGTATAATCCGTCAGATTTATGTTGTACCATGCTCGTATAATCTGGCAGATTAATGTACAACAGACTAAGAATTTAGGTGTGTACTTCCATTTTTAAAACTTATTTATATATCTTACATATCAGAATCTGAACTTGAGATATCCTAAACATTAAATAGATAAATACATCTAAAATCATGATAATTTCTAACTTGTAACACAACTCAAACAATTCATTGAATTTTTTTTAAAAAGGGCAATCAAATCATAGAGGCACATGCTGACGAACCACCTGTTGCCGCTATAACTTGGGATTTGATGAAGTGTTCTTTTGTTTCTAAACAACTCAACAACAAAAGGCACACCCAAATAAATAGCCTTTTCCCTAGCTCTTTTACAACCTGTCTTGCATAAATGTAGCCAATGGTATTCAGCATATCGACCCTATAAGTTGTATAAGGAAAACTAATATACTCAGAAAAGTGCCTTAGTTACAATCATAAGAGTTAAGTATTCAAATATGTGAGATGAGGTCAAAGATTTTCCATCCTTTAACCATATCAAGGTTTTCTTAACATGAGAATTATTAATTCAAAAGAAAAGCATGCAAATGAGTTGTAACCATGCATTCTTGTAATGCAACAAAATGTATTCACTTAATATCATGGAATTATTGTTAGAGCATGCTACCTGCATTGGATAGTTGGGGATACTTCAGCTTGTGCATGATAAACAAAGTACTCTTTGTTTCACTGGACATATTGATTGAGTCTGTTTTTTAGTATTTCTGTAAGCCTTTCTTCTCTCTATTTTTGAACAACCTGGTGGAAGAATAAATTTATTAAAACATAAAAAAATAGAAAAGCATAAGAAAGTTGTATGGGAGAATACAAAAATAGCTAAGAGTTAGTTATACCGCATATTATCTTGCAACTTTTTAGTATCAAATTGTTCTTCTTGAGTAAAAATGTCTATGGAAGCCATGGATGCCATGGCTAACTGGCCAATATATTCGTCAAAAAGCTCACTACCAAAGAGCATGGCAAAGATTGCAGTAGGATCTATAACGGCTTCAGTTGAGATTCTTGATTTGTCATGTGTATCATAAGCTTGCCTTTTAACAAAAAGATCATTGTCACCTCAAATTATATAACAAAAAAATAATATAAGCCATATGGTTTTCATAAGAATCATAGATGGTTGTAAAGGCACCCCGTCTACGCTCTCAACTCCTCTGTCGCTGCCAATTCTTCGAACACCATTGACGGTGGAAAAACCCTCGGAGATAAAAAACTCTTTCATCCTTTTTTAGACAGGTCCAAGCATAATTTTCATGTTGAAGCAAAGGAAACAATGTTAGTAAAAACACATTATAGATTGGAATTGAAATAGAAATAGAGAGAAGCACTTACGATTCTCATGCCCGGTTCAACAACAATGTGAACCCTAAAATCATATTTTCTTGATTACCCGTCGCAACAGCAGGAGACAGAGGGGTGGTGGCCGAAGACGATGATGTTCAAAATAGTGATCTACTCGGTTCATCAGAGAGGCCAAGGTATGAGGGCTGTGAAAATACCAATCATTTCTTCGTTTGAGGGCTTGATGGTCGGAAAAGGAGGAGAAGGAGGATCGGCGGTTAGAGCAAGAAATCACAATTAGTTTGGTTTAATAGAAAGGTAATAAGATGATGAGTATGAATATATAATTTATTTTTCTATTGGAGGAGACGGTGGTCGAAGATGGGTTCAGAGAAGGGGCGGTGACTAGGGTTTCAGAGTGAGAGAGAGAGAGAAATGGGAAGAAGTGATGAGTGGTTTATATTCTTAGACTATTGATATGAAGAAATCCAAATTGACTGTTAGAGTCTTCATGGATGAATACATGAATCAGGTATGGAAAATGGAGAAAATTAATTGCTACAAAATCAAGGATGAAATATGAAGAGACAGACACCTGTTGCTCTTTTCTGTGCAGAACGTTGCATCTGTCTTGATGTTAATGAGAGAAATTAAAAATAAAATAAAAATAATAATAATAATACATTAAATAATAAAGTTTCCTCTTATAGGAAGATGTAAAAAAGATAGAATGACTGAGAGTTTGCCAAATGTCAAAATTTTTTAAAAAACTCATCTTACTTTATTCTATTGTATGATAGGGTGAGAGTAATGCCAACATAAATAATTAGGGATAAAATTGGTAAAAATCAATTAATATTGCATTAAAAAAAAAAAAAAAAAGTAAAATAACACTTATTTTAAGATAAATTTTTTAAACTAAAAAAAATATTTATTTTAGAACAGAAAAAATATATATCACACTATAAAATAATTTTATATTATCATCCAAAAGAAATTTAAACTTCAAATACGTTGTAATTTAATGACGATAAAACCCGCCCCAACAATCATCGCTTCGGATTCAAATTCTATATCACAAACAAGAAGAGCACCGTTTATCTTTTCCCTTTTAGGTCATCCCAACCCAAACACAAGTGAAAGAAAATCAAAACACCAAAACCCCATGGACTCCCAAGATCCTTTTACCCAATCCGAAACCGAAACCTACCTAGCCGGCTTCGTCATGGCCAACATCGTCGGCCTAAAGCACTACTCCGGCACAATAACCGGCCGCGAAATGGTCGGCCTACTCCGGGAGCCTCTCAATCCATACGACTCAAACGCCATCAAAGTTCTCAACACTCAATCCCTCCAAGTCGGCTACATCGAACGCGCCGTCGCCGCCGTTCTCTCGCCGCTCATCGACGCTTCACTCATCCACGTTGAAGCCATCGTGCAAACCAACCCTCGCTCCAATAATACCAGTAGATTTCGTATCCCTTGTCAGGTTCATGTTTTCGCTCATTTCTCCGCTTTTGATGTTGTCCATGACGCTTTTTCTGAGTCACCTGTTCATTTCATTTCGCATTCGGATCCTTCGTTTACTCTGTCCAACGCTGCCGCCGTTAAAGAAACCCGCGCCAACTCCGCCGAATCCACCACCACAAAAACCACCGGTAATAAAAACCTTGACCAAATCTTTAAACTCGTCCGTGAAAACCTAGCTTCCGAAAACAAAATTCACGAACCGTTAAACCCTCCTACTAACATAATCAAATCAGAGCTTCTCCAACACCAAAAAGAAGCGCTAGGATGGCTTTCTCACCGCGAAAACTCCGAGGATTTACCGCAGTTTTGGGAAGAGAAGGAGGGTAGTTTCGTCAATGTGTTGACGAATTACCAAACCAACACTAAACCGGAGCCGCTCCGGGGAGGGATATTCGCGGACGGTATGGGATTAGGGAAGACTTTGACATTGCTTTCGTTGATTGCTTATGATAAAATGAAAATGAAAGGCGGTAAGAAAAGAGGGAGGAGTGTTGTAGAGACAGATGCTACATTGATTGTGTGTCCTCCTTCGGTTATTTCAACTTGGATAACTCAATTGGAAGAGCATACTAACCGTGGTGCATTGAAGGTTTATATGTATTATGGGGATAGAAGGACGCAAGATGCGGATGAATTGCGAAAATATGATGTTGTCTTGACTACTTATAATACTTTGGGAGCTGAATTGCGGTGGCCGGATACCGCGGTAAAGAAATTGGGGTGGAGGAGAATTGTCTTGGATGAAGCGCATATGATTAAGAATGTTAATGCTGGACAGAGTCAGGCTGTTATTGCTTTGAATGCAAAGAGGAGATGGGCTGTTACTGGAACACCTATTCAGAATGGTTCATATGATTTGTTTTCTCTTATGGCTTTTTTGCATTTTGAGCCTTTTTCAATCAAGAGTTATTGGCAAAGCTTGGTTCAACGCCCTCTTAATCAAGGCAAACAAACAGGGCTCAACCGATTGCAGGTATAATTCAATATCGATGTATTGAATTGAATTTGAATTTCATACACCAACTATTAGTTTCTTTTTCTAAGTGAATTGAATTTGAATTTCAGTCTTGGTTACTGATTATTCTTGTGTGGTTTTGGCTTTCTATGTTCTTTTGTGTAAGCTTGTTTATTTATATGGTTTTATTTTACTTACTCTTTTTGGTAGGTTTTGATGGCGGCAATATCATTACGAAGAACAAAAGACACTGCATTGCTGGGGCTTCCACCTAAGATTGTAGAGACTTGTTATGTTGAACTTTCATGTGAAGAGCGTAAACTCTATGATGAGGTTAAAGAGGAAATACGGTCGCTTATGAACAATGACAGACTAGTGTATAGTTATTCTACTATACTAAGTATGATTCTAAGACTCCGTCAGATCTGTGCTGATTTGTCGATGTGCCCTTCGGATTTCAAGTCATGTCTATTTTCTTCAACTGAAATTGAAGGTATATTTCCCCTTTCAATTCAAGGATTTACACGTATATTTACTTGTTAGCTTATTTTTCATGTTCATAATTCCTGGAGCTTGAATTTTGCTTTCAATCGTTAATTTTAACGTATTTTTTAACTATTCAAAATAAACCTTTATTAGCAATAACGTATAGCCATATGGGTACACTGATCAATTTTATAAAAATAGGCAGTAAATTGATACATGATTTGTTGGATGCCTAGGAAAGAGGAAACGCAAAATTATATGACAAATGCACATACTCATGTCTTGCACTCTTGAATCATAATGTATTATGATTATGTTCATCTACCATGTACTTACTCGCAGACAACACCACATATTGTATATGTTTCTTGGCAGAGCTAGAATGTTGTGTTAACTGTCAATTAACTATTTGTTACCTTCAATTTGTTGGGGCATCGTTGGTGATAATAGATATGTGATCAGAATCTTCAATACCATTAGTGCCTAAAGAAGACTAACCACATTAATAATTTCAATCCATTATTTCACGGCTAAAAAAAATCATTTTATTGGTTAAAGTTGATTTTTTTTCTTTGATTTGTTAATAAACTGTTCCTTTCTGAAATTGTTTTTTTCCTTCAAAAGATTAAAACCACGTAATCAGTTGGTAACTTTTACTGGTTGAATACCAATCAGGCATTATTGCCAAAACCTACTGTTTACTGGTTGAATACTCTTAGAATGTGTGATTGGGCCTAACTCGTCCCTACAAAACCGGCTTGTAAAGTGAGGATTACTCCCACTTATAAAGTCATTTTCAGGCCATATATTGTCCGATGTGGGACTCTTAACACTCCCTCTCACGCCCAGGAATTAGGGCTGGAGCGTGGAACTAAATGGTGGGTGGCCCAATGGATCTTAGATGAGGCTCTGATACCATCTTAGAAAATCCTCGTAGCTTGGCGTAGGGTTCTGAAGAGAAGGTGAAGTCTGCATAGTATACGATTTTTCGAGAGTACGACTTTCTGTGAGTCGAAAATGAAAGCCGAGGGCGGATCTAGAACCGGAGGAGGAAGGCGATTTTCCGAAAGAATTTTTTTTTTTCGTGAACAGTAGCACGGCGAAGAATTGCCTCTTAGAAGACTCTAGATACCATATTGGGGGGAAATTATTAGGAGCATTGATGCATAGTGTAGGAACAAGCACCTTTGTGAGAGACACACCACTTATCCACCTAAAACCTTAAGGTGATAGGTGAGTGGGTTCTCCCACTTATATATGCTTAAGTCTCCATATTCCTATCTAATGTGGGACTATTTCCCCACTTACTCACACTTACTATATTATTCCAACACCCCCCTCAAGTGTGAGTCCACAATGCTCCCCACTTGTACAAATACCAATTAGCCATTAATGCGAAAACCTACCGAAGAGCTAAAACATCTGATGCAATAGGCGTATCTAGGCAGGCAGGTGATTGCGTGATAGTGTTTTCTGGTCTTAACAACTTGTGTTTAGATGTGTGTGTATCAAAACACGGTAAGTGAGTAGTTCATCTTACCATGGAATATTTCAACTTTTGGAAGTTGGAGGCATTGTAAGATGTCATTATTGTTATAAGATCTGACTTTGATTTAACTAAGAAAAATGTGTTAGGGAGCTAGTAGTCCCTAAACTTAGTGTATTCTAGAAGAAAGTTGTGTAGTGTGTTACTTTTACTATCGGAGTTTGTTAACTGCTTCTACTGATGTAGTCACTATATATAGGAATGGTATGAGCCTATGTTTGGCTTTTGAGAAAAATTACGGTGATGCCGCACATTTCTTAGAAGCTTAATATTGTAGCTTCTGAAAATCACGATGGAAAGAGGGTCAAACGTGAGATGGTGGTAGTTTGCTTTGATTTCCAAACACTTGCTGAGTCCATTTCAGATTGCCTTTTTTGGACACATTTAATAAACTGTTTATATTGGGAAAGAAAAGAGTTCACTTTGCAGAGAGTTACCTTATAAACCCTTTAAGTTGGGAAAGGGAAGAGTTCGTTTTGCAGAGAATTACCTTATACCATTCTTTGATTCCTCTTCCTTATCTTTCTCTCTATTCCTATTCTTCTCTCTTGAACTTATCTATTGGTCCCAACATGTCAATTCTTTGAGAAGACCAGTGAGATGACAATGGAGTTCATGAAAAACCAGCCACCCAACACACTTTGCCACTTGCAAAGTTTAAGAAAATATTGCAATCATCAAGGAAGGAGGTCAACAAAATACTCAAGCATTCATGAATAAAGGGTATTCCTTCGAAGACGACAAGAGTTGAAGATAGTGACAGAAATTCTATTTTATCACACACAACACTGAAGCATAGCTTTTTAGATATGCGAAAAGAGTCACAGATGGATCAAGAAAATCGAATTACCTTGCTTTGAAGGAAAAGATTTGATTGGGGGGATAGCAAAGGAAATTTTTTTCTCTGAAATTCACCAAATTCCAACAAAAGAGAAGCCCGAACTTGCTTTCCTGAGCATTGGTTTCGTTGTTGGCATATGAATAATAGGGCAGCATGATGGGAATTATTTTACGATGTCTCTCATCAAAAGATTTGGTGAAAGATAAGGGGTTTGTATATTCAAGAGAATGTAAATGCTACGCCAATCGGAGGAGGAGTATGTACGGGGTTGAGTCCTTAGTGGCTCAAATCAATTTGATTGCAAAAAAGCACAGATCTTGGCAATTTTTTTTGGTGGGTGTTGTCCTTGAGTTGCAGAGCAAGATGCACTTCCAAGAACCTTCAGACCTTTCGACGACGATTGAATTAACTTGTGCATTTGAAGACAACTTGAAATTGACACAATGATTAAGAAGAGACAAAGTGCGTGTAAATTCTTCTACAACATCCACAAATTTTCATTTTGTGTGCATTGTGAGCGCTTTGCCTATGATTTAGAGTCTTGCCTCAACAACAGTCTCTACATCCAATGCAAACCCTTCTATTGGGGACAAACGAGGTTTGGTGGGAAAATCCCCACTATCAACTATGGGAAACAAAACAAGTGGGGCTAGCAACACATGTACCAAACAATTTTCCATCAAGAAATCATAAAGCAATGTGAAAAAGAAAAATACATCAGCCAGACCAACAAGGGCCTACATTTGAGTCTATTTAGAGGTGAAAGTGGGAGATCATATCATACCACAAGTTACACAATTTAAAAATCTTGGGTTCATTGTAGAAAAAAATGAAGAAGTAGAAGTTGTAAACCATTAAATTCAAACTAAGTGGTTGAGATAGAGCAAGGTGATATGGACCTCTAGTTCAGCTGATTAGGATTTATTATTTTATTTATTTTTAATAAGTTAGTATTTAGAATTTTTAAATTTGAATTTCATTATATTTAGGATAAGATTTAGGTTAAAACAGAATCTACCTATTAACTAAGATTGTTATCATTTAAGTTTAAATGATAATAATTTTAGGAAAAGTAGTTATTGACTTAATTTAATTAGGGATTCTCATTCTACTGTAAGCCTATTTAAAGGCATTTAGATTATCAATGAAAATCAATCAATAATTATTATCAAAAAAGTATTTGTGAATTTAAGAAGAGGCTGTCAAGGACGAGTCCGCTTCTACATTCACCATAGGTCGAAGCAACGCTTCTACCGTGTCTAGGACTGTGTCAACACGATCAAAGACAAAGGGGCATAACACAAGGCCTAAGATTTTATGATACTAAAGCATCGCTCAAACTGGAAGGGAAATTCTACGAGACAACTTTAAGACTCGCAATGTTGTTTGGGACAGAGTGTTGGGCTGTAAAGAACCAACACGAAAATAAATTAAATGTAACAGAGAAGAGGATGTTACGTGTGATGTGTAGTAAAACTAGATGAGATAGGATTAGAATTGACAACATTATAGAGAGTTGGAATAATACCTATAGTCGAAAAGATGGTGGAAACTAGACTTAGGTGGTTAGGGCATGTAGCTAGAAGACCTATAGATTCTATAGTAGGGAGAATAGATCAGATGAAAGATAATCAAACGGCTAGAGGTAGAGGAATACCTAGAAAAACTATAAGAAACTATTAAGAAAGACCTCGCGATTAATGAGTTAGATTGAAGTATGATGTTCGATAGGACATTATGATGTTGTTTGATCCATGTAGCCGATCCCCTTAGTGGGATAAGACTTGATTGTTGTTGTTTCATACTATTGTGTCTGGTGGTTATTCAAGATTTTATAGAACATACAGACGAACATACTCTGCATATGAAGGAGACTGTTACGAAATTTGTGGCTTGAGCATCATATATGCCGATGCAGCAAATACTTGCCAGATCCTCAGGAGGCCTGTTACAAAGTTTACCAATCCCAAATGTTGTGTGTGAAGACATAAGCTAGAGGTCGCAAAACTTAAAGGTGTAATCTAAAAGTTATAGTTAATTGGTTAGTGTATTGCTTTACTGTTCCTAACTGATGTATACAGTTTATAGGAAAGGGTAGGAATCAATTGTAGATGCCTTTTCTGAATAAAAACATTGAATAAACTGTTTAACTTGGAAAAGGGATTAATTCCCTTGTGTCATTCTCTGATTCTTCTTCCTCATCTTTCTCTATTCATACTCAGCTCTCTCTCTAGAACCTCTCAAAATAAATATGGTGGAATGATTTGTGTACTTCTAGTATAAAGATTTCTGATTGTCTAATTGGTGCATGAAAAGACTGCTTCAAGTAAAATGCCGAAAGTTCTCCGTTGAACTGAAATCATATGTGTCTGTGCGCACTCTGCACAACGATGTTGCAAGTTCTTGTATAGGAAGAAAGATACTGCCGTGAAGGTTTGGACTTCCAACTTTATGATTACATTACATTCAAGTCTTTGAGACTTGTGCTAAGTGCCAACTGAGTTACAAACTTCTTTGGGAAATCAGGGCAAGGCTACTTGTCGTGAGCAATGGAGATTTTCTTCATCTTCACATTTAGTTTTTTTGCAAAGTATACTGATTTTAATGATATGATATAAATGTTAGGTGGATTCCAACAAGGCCTTTATGTAAAACAGATATATAATATGGGTTGTTCTACCATACATTGAATCCAACATTTTCATCAATATCAAGGAGAGTTTTGAATAATGAATAGATAAAGTATTATTTTATTGTACTAATCACCATACATAATTTTTTCAAAGCAGATGTTTCGGAGAACCCTGAATTGCTGCAAACATTAATTGGGATGCTACAAGATTGTGAAGATTTTGACTGTCCAATTTGTTTATCTCCCCCATCAGATGTTGTAATTACATGTTGTGCTCATATTTTCTGCCGAGAATGTATTCTGAAAACTCTACTGCGCAGCAACTCTAGCTGCCCACTTTGTCGGCGCTCCCTTTCAGAATCTGAACTATTCTCAGTTCCGTCTCTTAAGACTGATACTACGGAATCGTGCAGCACACCAGATGTGAGGTCATCCACCAAAGTCTCTACTTTGATAAAGCTTCTTACAGAATCAAGGGATCAAAATCCAGCTACCAAATCTGTTGTATTTTCACAATTCCGTAAGATGCTTCCATTGTTAGAAGAACCTCTGAAAGCTGCCGGCTTTAAAACATTGCGTCTTGATGGGGCAATGAGTGCTAAACAAAGGACTCAAGTTATTGAACAATTTCAACTCTCAGAAGTTGATGACCCAATGATTCTCCTTGCAAGTCTAAGGGCTTCAAGTACAGGTATAAATCTAACAGCCGCCTCTAGAGTGTACTTAATGGAGCCGTGGTGGAACCCAGCAGTTGAAGAACAGGCAATGGACCGTGTCCACCGCATTGGACAGAAAGAAGAAGTGAAGATTGTTAGACTGATAGCTAAAAATAGCATAGAAGAGAAAATATTAATGTTGCAAGAGAAGAAGAAAGAAATAACAAGCCGAGGATCTGGGAGGAGATCAAAGGATGTTGTTGGTATGGGCATAGAGGATCTCCGTTATGTTTTAGGAGAATAGAGATGGTTTGCAATTAGGCAATGTAAACTATTGTCTGTTTGAGTCTCTCAAACTTTTTGTTTTGGTAGCTCTACAGTTCTGAAAAAAAATATTAGTTGGGCTACTTTTTTTGAACCAGAAGTAAGGTCGATGGATTTCCTACTTTTTGTTAGACTCAATGCAGACAATTGAAAGGAAATCAAAGGATCAATGTTTTTTTATTAATCGACCTCTAAGACCAATCTGTATTTTTTACATGTCTTTTTTTTCTTCCAGTGCAAAGTCTCTAATAGAGCTAAATAAAGCCTCTCCTTCTCAAGAACTCTGACAATGTTGGGGTCATATACACAACCATACCTACAAATTAACCTTCTCTAATAGCGCTAAAATTTCTTTAGAATAACTTCTAATGAGCTTGGAATGACTCTACTGCATTGCTATTCTAATTATTTTTAATAGAATGGTTAAGTGTGAGATATATGAAGAGTAAGGATATGTTTATGATTGAGTGCAATCATTAGAAATTTGTGCCTTTTTCTTTGGGTTTTAATTTTTAATTAGGAAAAATAATTTTTTTTGAGAATTTAAAATGATGGGACTAAATTTTACTGATCGGAAAAAAAAATGGAGAATTGTTAAATCGACATAAATTTATTTAAGTTAAATTTAGTATATGTTTGATTTGACTTTTGAAAAGGCCAAAAACAATTTTAGAGATGTATAATTGATTCTGGGTGATTTTGAAATGTTTGGTTAGATAAAAGTAGAATTGATTCCGTCTCCAGAATTGATTCTACTTGAATTTAGAATTTGTAGTTTCTACCTCTATAATTGATTCAAGATGATTTTTATATTGAAATTTATTGTTCAACTCATTTTTACATAAATGTATCCATCCAAACATAAATCAAAAGTATTTCTTATTTCACCCTATGCTTTTCTAGTGCACCACGTGAAATTCTAAAAATGCTCATGAAAATCAGAAATATGTTTCTGATACACACCTCCACATACATATAATTCATTCGTTTTTGAGATTCGTCCCATTTTACGGTTAAATTGATACAAGAAATGCATTTTCAGTATAAATCGAAAGTATATTTTCAGTTCCTAATTTAGAAAAAGTCGATATTATACTTCCCACTTGTTCTAACCTATGACATTTTATAACTTAAAAATGAAATAACAATATTCACTCCCCCTAAATTTTCTAAAATAATATTACAGTGAATTAATGATTTTACTTTTAGTCAAAGAAGAATCTTTGAATTATTGCTATTGATAAAGTCAACTATCACACACATAAATGCATTGCATGCTCCCTAAATTTGGTGGGTCTTTTACTTTATATAAGAACGAGAAATTTACTTCCGATTAATATCGAAAATGCATTTTCGATTTTTGTGTAAGGGCAACTTAAAAAAATGTGCACCGGAAATATACTTCAATTTACGAGAGACAGTTTTGAAATTGCAAAGGTTCTTTCTTTTAGGCATGAGATAGAATAAGAAATTTCCTAAATCAATTTTGTTAAACTTAATTATGATAAAATCAACTCCACCAAACTCAATTATATTAAAATCAATTTTGTTCACTGCCAATTCAAACACACACTTAAGAAATTTCAAATTACAATAAAAAATAAATAATTTGAAATTACTTATTCACCCTACATAATACGAAATTAAATTGTTTATTATTAATTTTTTCAACTTTACAAGATGGTCTTTGATCTTACCGGATCAGAAATGGACAGTCACAGCTGGCTCGAACAGAAGTTGAATGAGATGGGGAGGGGTACCTGCAAGATACTCCGATGGCAAAGTAAGAAGCAGAATGAGCAAGCAAGTATGAGTTTAGAGATATGAATTGAATACTTGACCCTCTTGAGAGAGATGGTATTTATAGCCCCAGTGCTGGGCCAAGGTTCCCACTCTTGGGCCACGTGGAGACCCAATAACAGGAACCTCCAGGACTTACGTGTGTATGGAGTCCAGCAAGTGGGCTCCCTCCTGGTCAACTGCTCCGCGAGAATAGGATTGGACCCGTGATTTTCGGGGGGCAGTTTAAGATGTCTGTCATGGGATCGTGGGCCACGTCCTCCAACGGTCGGATGGGAGTTGCCCAACGGTCCCTAACTTGGGCTATCTTTGGGCTTCTCGTTCGAAGGGCAAATGTAGGCCCAATCCAGATCAGGAGCCCCTCAAGTTATTGCCCTCGAGCTAGAGGGCGGTGACTTGAGTTCAGCTCTCGATACCGGAGACTTGGTCGAGGTAGATGGCCAAAGTCCCTCTAAAGGAGCGAGCCGTTGCCCGTGGGGGGCCAAGCTCGAGTACATCGAGGAATATCATGGATAAGCGGGGAGCAGGACCGAAGGGCTAAACCACTTGCTTGAGAGGACGTATTAGTGATGTGGAGCCTCTGCGAGATTCCCTTTGACATGCCCGGCTCCTGGGAGTTGTTAGTTTGTCGAGCATTACCTCGTCCTCGAGGTGGTTAAATAGGTGTGACCCTACGTGCCCTCTAATGTCGAGCATTTCCTCATGTAAGTATCTGCCTCGTACGTGTTTGGGGCGACACATAGAAGTTGGGCGTATGCTCGCCAGTCCATAAGGGACTCGTGGTTGATAGTTGAGCCACGTGGCTAGTGCTTTGGGGTGCCACCCCTTCAAGGAAAAAGCAAAAGGGGCCAATGAAATGATGACCTTTCATGAGGGATCCCTTGGGGCGTGGGTGGCCTATAAAAGGGGGCCCTTGGGTCTTATTTGTCATCTTCTCAAGTTTCCTCTCAATCTTTTATTTGCTCGTGGTGTGAAGTGATTCTCTCAACTCCTCAGTTTTCTTTGCTCGTGGTGTGAAGCGATTCTCTCAACTTCTCAATTTCTCTCTTCAAGTTCTTCATTCAAGTAAGTTATAACCTCTTAACACCATGTTTCTTGAGCGTTTCTGGATTAAATGTCAAAATTTTGCCTTGATTGGATGAATATTCATGAGTTTTATGATGAATACTCATGAATGTTCATTTGATTTCATGGATTCTGTGTCGAGCACTCATGAATGTGCTGGACACTTATGAACATTCATTAGATATAGTATCGGGGGCCTCCCCGGACAATGTCTGTAACAGGGGATGGTTTCCTAGGATACACGGGATGGTTTCCCGGGCTTTTTGCTCGACGAGTGATCCCCCCGATAACATGTCCTCGTAGTGTAATTAGGCATGGCAAAAAAACCCAGACCCGCTGGGCCCCGCCTGGACCCGCCCCGAAATTAACGGGGAAAACCCGGCTAAAACGGGTACGGGTGCGGGGGCGGGTAAAACCCGGTTTCTAACTACGGGTGCGGGGGCGGGGGCGGTAAGACACTGAGACCCGCCCGCACCCGCACCCCCCCCCCCCCGCCCCGAATAATCCAATTACTATAATAACCTTGTTTTAATTATTTTTATGTTACTTTTATTTTCTCAGCTTGTTTTAATTATTTTTATGTTACTTTTATTTTTATGTTACTTTTATAATAACCTTGTTTTACTTATTTTTATGTTACTTTTATTTTTATGTTACTTTTAATTGTTTTAATTAATTTTGTATTTTTAATGTATTTGTTAATGTTGTCCAGGAAATTTGTGAAAAAAATAGATATTTTTTTATTTAAAAAAAACAGTTTTCGCGGGTGGGGGCGGGTGCGGGTGCGGGTGACCCGTTCTCCATTGGGGGCGGGTCTGGAGGTGAATTTCCATCCCCCGGCGGGTTTGGGGGCGGGGGCGGGTCTATTACTGGAGTTGCGGGTGCGGGTGCGGGGTTAGCTAAACCCGCCCCCGACCCGCCCCATTGCCATCCCTAAGTGTAATGGTCCGCTTTAGCGTGTTGAGGGCTTGGGTCTAGTTTGTCGCCCTTTCACTTAATCTGTGGTGGAAGGGTGGATTTGATAATGTCAAATTCACTAATTTCCCCTGCTTTTCAGGTATAATGGCGCGTTCAGTCGGGGACGATATTCCGACCGCCCATCACGAAGACGAGCCCCATACCGATGAGGACCCTTTGGCTTGGGTCACTCCTGAGCCCCGGGATAAACGATCGTGCTTTTCCCAGGATGCGACGGATGCATTCAATTTCCTAGAGGAACACACAGAAGGGGCCCCGACCAATTGGATGCTCCAAATCCCCCATCGGGACCGAACGATATGCTCGACGTATCCGGGCAAACGGTTCCCCATGTACGAATTTGCTTTCAAAGAGGCGGGGTTGCGCATGCCCTTCAATGATTTCCATGTCGGGGTTTTCCAATGGATTAAGTTGGCGCCTTCCCAACTTCATCTGAACGCGCTGGCGTTTATGCGGGCGTTTGAGCTTGTCTTCCAATACCTGAGGATAGGCGACACACTGCCCCTTTTTTTCCGCATATTTCACCTCCAAAGACAATCTTTTCGAGGGGGGCAGGCGTGGGTATCCTTCAAGCAGTTCGGGAAACTCTTCTGACCTTATCTGGAGTCCGTCCGAAATTTTAAAGAGAGGTACTTCATCGTGAAGCCCCTGACGGACGCGGCTATAGATTCTCTCTACACCCTTGTGGAAGAGGTGGAGGACGGGCGACCAGTTATCCGACTTATGGCCAGATTCCCGCTCGAATGGTAGTGGAAGCATTATGAACAAAGGCCCAAATACTATGTAGTGAAACCCGAGGACTTGGACGCCCAAGACCATCTTTCGTACGAGAAGCTGTCGGCTTATACTAAAGGTTTCTCCCCCGCGAAGTGCGTGGACGTGAACAACAGCCTGTTGTTCGACGATGCGGGGGAGTATCTCTTAGTCAATTGGTTGATCAACACGAAGGCGTTGCTCGAGTGCTCCTCGAACGGGGAAGCCATGAGGCTTTTGGGTAAGGCGTAGCCGTTAATTTGCTCCTCTTTATGTGGGGACGTGCTCGCGCTGTTTTTGATTTTTCCAACTCGACTAACGATTCTTTTTGATTGCAGGTTGAATGGCATCTCTTTCCGAGCGTCTGTTGAAGCTGAGGCCCAA